AATCAATCAATCAATAATCAATTGTAACTAGTGCGATTTAAAAAAAAAAACATATTTTAATTAATTTTTGAAATTTGTTATTGGTCTTTTGCATAGGGTGATTAAATTACAAAATCAGTCTCATAAGATTGACATGCCACATGAAACTTGCATGGATCATACTAAACTGATTGTGTATATAGGATTATGCACAATTGCACATGCACATTATCCATGGCAAACATGTCAAATTTATTTCCATTAATTATAGTTGATGATTAAATTTTTCTTTCCTTTTTTAAGAAAAGTTTAAATTTTTAAATTTAAGATATTTAAATTCTTACTTTAAAAAAAGAAATAAATCAATAATCAAATCATAAATTTAAAAAGTATCAATAATCAAATCAAATAAATCAATAACAAATAATCAATTGTAACCTGTGTATTTTTTTAAAAAAAAATACTAGTTTAATTCACTTTTGAATTTTTTTTTCCGACTTTACCAGCATTCGAACAAGGACCATTAAGTTGTTGTCCTGTAATAAGCAACAACAATCATATTGACCACGAATGCTAGTCACTTTTGAAATTTGTTATTGACCTTATGTTTACTATGACTATATCCGAAATCAATCTCATATGATTGACATGGTAAAGATGAAATTGAGACTGATTTTGTATAAGAGATGAACGTTGGATAGGATTATAGACATGCACGATATCCATCCCAAATTTTATTTTCTTATATTTTATTTTCTTATTTCGTTAAATTATCAATTTGCGTTATAAATAGTTATTATTATATAATGATTAAAATAATAAATAATATTGTTATTAGTTTAAAAAGTTAGTATTAAATTTACTTTGTTAAAAACTAAATAAATTTCAGACTTGAATTTTGAATTTTTTTAAATTTAAAAATGGTAAATTTAGCATCATTAATTATAGTTGACGATTTAGTTTTTCTTTCCTTTTTTTAAAATATTCAAATATTAGATATAATTTGAAATATTTGAAATCTCTCCAAAAAATATAAACAAATCAATTATCATAACTATATTAATTATTACTTTATAAAATGAATTTAATGCTAATTTTGAAAAAAGGGTCATATGCTGACTACTGAGTATAGTAGACAGCTCCCTGCCTCCACTCCATATACTATATATTTGTGTTGGTCTATAAATGTTTGTTTGTTTTCATCATTTTTCTTTCCTTTGCAGTGTTCATTTTTCAGACATTGCTGAATTTTCTATCTCTTCCTCAAGGACAGACATGCAGCAGAGACAGATAACGAATCTGATGGAATGGCAGAAACAGGTTCAGAATGAGAATGTTGTTGCCAACAATGGGAAGGTTATCATGACTGATGAGCAGTTGGAAACTCTGAGGAAACAAATCGCAGCTTATGCCAACATTTCAGAGCAACTACTTCAGAAGCACAAAACACTCTCAGTTCAGCGCAATCTTCCAGGTCTTTCTTTCATTTTCATTTTGCACCTTGTTCTTCTTCTTTGTGGAAATGCTTAATTAGTTACCACCTTATCATAATTGTCCAATATTTATTACTCTAGAACGACCTCATTTTGCTCTCCAAAATCATTTCTTTTGTGAAAACTTTTATACGTTGAGTTTGTCTGACAATGTATTTATTTGTATTCCTCCTTCAATTTTCTACTTTTAGCCATCAACTTTTAAGTTTGAAAAACGATTTAATGTAAGCCACTGATAAAGTTTGTGGATTCCAATTGAGGAGCACATTTTGTATGTAATGGGTATTCTCTTATCAAAAAAGGACAAAAAATAATTACAAAGACAGAGATGATGTAAATGTATTTACTCTTTTTTTTTAGTATTTAGTAAAGTATGTACCGAATACTCACTATTCTCATAGTAGCATTGAAAATATTTTGCTTTTTTTTTCTTTCATTTTGCTTTAGCTAACTTATACCTTTGGCTTTTTTTTTTTTTCAGTTACAGAGCAGAAACCTAGTGTCGTGGGAAATATATGCAGTGACCCATTGATGTCAAATACAAAATGTCATGGTGGTCACATACCCAGAAAAATAAAACCTGGTTGATTTTTTCCTTGCATTTTGCTTTGGCTAACTAATACATTGGGTTATTATTACTATGTTTTTTCAGTTCCCAAGCAGAAACGTAGTGGTGTAGTGGGAGATATAAGCAGTGACCCATTGACCCACAAGAGGTGGACTCCAACGCTCAAGCAGCTTCAGATTCTTGGGCGAATATTTGAGGAGGGGAAGGGGAAGGGAACTACAAACAAGGAAAAAATCAAGGAGATAACCGCTGAACTGAGCCAGTATGGCCAAATATCCGAAAGAAATGTTTATAATTGGTTTCAGAACAAGCGAGCTCGACGGAAAAGAAAACGGCATAATGTGACAGAGGGTAAGGGTAACACTGAATCAGAAATAAACAATGAGGAATATCAGTCCCAACCAATGGGCTAAAAATAAAAAGAACTAAAGACTTATTTTTGTATTGAAAAGCTAGTTAGTCGGTTCTTGTGAATCTAATTCATACAAATTCCGTCCAATAAAATGGATCGGGGTTCGTAGTGACTGAGGGGGTCGAAGACCAAGAAGTGAGTTATTTATCAGCCAAACATTCAATTCTTCTTATGGCTAGATCCAATCTCCCGGTCCCCCGGCTCGTTTATTTTTATTTTTCTCATTTACATTTAATGAGCATCTTGTATTTCATAAAAATTAGGGGTAATATAATCTTTACGCAACGGCCATCCTATCCAACTTTCTGGCATTAAAATACGTTTCAGACGCGGATGATTATCATAAAAGATTCCGAACATATCATAAGAATCCCTTTCATGAAAATTCGCACCTTTAATTAGTATTAGTTATTATATATAGTAACTAGTGCGATTTAAAAAAAAACATATTTTTTAATATTTGAAATTTGTTATTGGTCTTTTGCATAGGGTGATTAAATTAAAAAATCAGTCTCATAAGATTGACATGCCAAATGAAACTTGCATGGATCATACTAAACTGATTGTGTATATAGGATTATGCACAATTGCACATGCACATTATCCATGGCAAAAATGTCAAATTTATTTCCATTAATTATAGTTGATGATTAATTTTTTCTTTCCTTTTTTAAGGTCATCATAATTATTTTAGTTATAAAAACTGCAGGTAAAATGAAAGGTCATCATAATTATTTTAATTATAATATCTCAATGGTTACAAAATTAAATAAAAATAGTTTTTGGCATTTACTAACTAAATGATAACCAACCATAACAGCTAAACGTTACAACTAAAATCACCACTAATTAAGGTTACAATTTTATAGTCATATTATGACACACTATTAGCAATCAATGCCTATAACACTATACATAAGGTTACACACTATAATTATTATTATTATTATATTATTATTACTATTACTATTTTTCTGGGATATTACATTTTACCCTCCTTAAAATAAGTTTCGTCCTCGAACTTAAAAGTTTAAGTCCCTCACAAACGACACAAACGTAAGCAAGCAAACCAAAGTCATGTGATCACCAAGATTATAACTTCTAGATATAAAGTATTAGCTCTAACTAACCCTCTAAAAGAAAGGTTTCGACCTCAAAATACTTTCTTTAAATAAATAGGGTATTTATTGCATATATAAACCTTCATTTGCTTGAAAAATTTAAACAAGTCAAGGACAACTCTACAAATCTTTAGAGAAATCTATTTATTCTTTTTCAGCAAAATGAATTGCAAAAGAGAACATATAAGCATTGTAAACATATTATTAACAAGAGTAAAACTCCAAAATTAAAGCACATATAAAAGTCAATAAGAAACCCCTTTAACTATCCAACTCTCACGATTTTATTTTATGTCTTATTATTTTATTTCCTATTTTTTTTTTGGTACTTATTTATTTAACTCTGGGATCTTTGATCCCTTGAGTTAGCATCAAGAGTAAACCCAAGCCAAACTAGGGGCTCTGATACTATTTTGTAACACTCTCAAATTTCTAACAGTTTATGAAACCTTATTATAATAAAGAAATTGCCAAAATTTACGTTTTATTTATTTTTATGATCATAGAAATCTTGCGGAAGCCAAACTAAAACTAATTTGGGGGAATGTTACCACCGCACCTGTACATGGACAAGTGCAAGGCTAACTCTATTGCATTCATAAATATTAAGATAAAATCAGAGACTTTGTTTTAATATATAAAATTTAGAACTAGCTGGAAATTCTCTGAGTCATTATCCTCACTGCTCACTGCTAGCCCCATCTTTTGCAACCTGTATCACGGAAAATCTGCTCCCCCAAAAGGATCATTGCAGTCAAACAAACACAAACAGTCAGCGAAGCTGGTAATACTAATCAAAAACACAAATTACATAACTCAAATATAGTAATCAAATTAAATATATAATTTCATAATAATTGAATCAAATATCAACTTTATCATATATATAAAATATTCTCATCATAATAAGATCAAATATCAACTTCAATATTCATTATATATATTCTCATCACAATCACATCAAATTATCAACTTCAATATATATTCACATAGAATCAAATATTATTCATAATCTTTATTAAGTTTATTTAGTGTAGCAGTAGGGGTAATTATCAACTAACATATTCAGCACAACCTTAATCATAATAGGATAATATTCACAACTCAATGACATTCATCATAATCAAATCAAATAACAAATTTCATTATTAATAATGTTTAAGTTCATTGTATTTAGTGGGAAGAGAACCATGGTAGACCCGAGAAATAACCATTGTTGCCAGTCTACCCCGTGACCCGGGAAATAACCATTGTTGCCAGTCACGTATAATCAAAATTGGCCATCATCAAAATATCAAATCCTACTGTGCACACCTCTTCCCAAAGTTGCTACTAGTACCCCGAGAAATAACCACTGTTGCCAGATACCACTTTGGAAAGAACGGAAACATCATTGTCACATCAAATAAATATCAAAGGCATAAAGCCCAAAGGTTGTGTTCATCACTTTCAGGAGGTACCATCCCAAAAGCTATCTTCCCACTATTATTTATTACAATCACACAATCAATACAATTCAATCTTATCACGATTCTCATAATTGTCAAATAGTTTTCATGATTTCCACATCAAATTAAGAGTATAGTTTCCAAATTCAATCTTTCAATAATATCATAATTTTCAAATCCATTATCCAATAATATCATAATTTTCATATTCAACATCTAACAGAGTGAAACCCAAATCCAATCATCATATCATAATTTTTCAAATCATAATTCAAATATTCACATCTATTAGAGTAAAGTCAAAATCTGATAATTAATCCAATTAATTTCTAGAGGTTAAAATAATTTAATTTAAATACCTTAAGGGTTACATATAATATATGAAAACATCCTAAAATTCCCTAAAGATCAAGATTATATTTAACAAATTTAATATAAAATTATCCTACGATCACCTAGAGGATTACATATACCAAATTTCATCTAAAAATAATTTAAGATGCCCTAAGGATCAGGATTACATTAGACAAAATTTCTTATAAAAGTTAATCTATTATTTCTAAAGCATTAGGATTATACCCAACAAATTTCATATAAAACTAACCTGAAAGCACATAGGGATCAGGATACCTAAGAATTAGTATTACATAAATTTCAAATAAATTAATTGATTATTCCATGAAGATTAGAATCACATCGAATAAATTTAATAGAAAACATAACTATAGTGCCCTAAGCATCGAGATTACATCAAAAATTCATATAAAGGTAACCCTTGACTCTCTAGGGATTAGGATTACATATAAGGATTATACCCGAATTTTATATAAAAGAGATAACCTACAAATACCTAGGGATTATGATTACATATAACAAATTGGGATTATATCAAATAAGAATCACATAAAATAAATATATCACTCCGTAAAGGTCAATATTATATCAAACAAAATTCGTATATGAATAATCTATTACTTCTAAAGGTTTAGGATACACCCAACAAATTTCTACACAACAAATCTACAACTACCTAGGGATTAGGATTACCTGGTCTCCGTGTTGGCTACCTTTTAGAAGAAAAGTGATTGGGGGAAGAAAAGCGGTTGGTATCCAAAGGAAAATAATAGTAAAATAAAATAAATAAAAAATTTGAAGTAAGAAGAGAGAAAGTAGAGGAGAAGAGAAATGGAGAAATGTTGAGAACTGTGAAGTGGTTTGATTGATTAGGTTAAACTCCTATTTATAGCTGTAGTTTAGAAACCGAGACATTAACTACAGATAATATCAAAAGTCATATACTTATTTCAATTATTGAAACTGCAAGTAATATCAAAAGTCATATACTTATTTCAATTATTGAAACTGCAAGTAATATCAAAAGTCATCATAATTATTTTAGTTATAAAAACTGCAGGTAAAATGAAAGGTCATCATAATTATTTTAATTATAATATCTCAATGGTTACAAAATTAAATAAAAATAATTGTTGGCATTTACTAACTAAATGATAACCAACCATAACTGCTAAACGTTACAACTAAAATCACCACTAATTAAGGTTACAATTTTATAGTCATATTATGACACACTATTAGCAATCAATGCCTATAACACTATACATAAGGTACACACTATTATTATTATTATTATTATTATATTATTATTATTATTATTACTATTTTTCTGGGATATTACAACATACGCCAAGTCGGGTCTCTTACAAACCATTGCATACATCAAGCTTCTGATGGTGGATCGATATGTGATCTTCAGCATCTCGTCTTTTTCTTCATCAGATCTGGGACACTGCTTCTATCTCAGCTTTATGTGTCCGGACAAGGGGGTGCTCACTATTTTGACTTTGTCCATGCTAACTCTCTTCAGAATATTCTTTATGTATTTTGATTGACTTAGCCACAATAGCTTTCTATGTCGGTCTCTAACAATTTTGATTCCAAGTATTTGCTTTGCAAGGCTAAGGTCCTTCAACGTGAAGGATGAGCTCAACGCCTTTTTCAAGGTGGCTATCCTCTCTTTGTTTTGCCCTACAATAAGTATATTGTCAACATATAAAAGCAAAATTAAAAAAATCTCCAACTTCATACCTCTTGACAAACACACAGTGGTCGGCTTCAGTCTTCGCAAACCTGTGATCAGTCACAAAAGATTCAAATTTCTTGTACCACTGCCAAGGTGCTTGTTTTAAGCCATATAGGCTCTTCTTCAAACGACAGACCATGTAATGCCTATCAACTTACAAGGATCAACGATTGTCCCCACACACTAACACGAAACTTTTTAGCATGCTTTGTCCTTACTCGCACACTTCCCGAGAAAACTTCCCAGGAGGTCACCCATCCCAGAATTGCCCCAAGACAAGCATGCTTAACTATGGAGTTCTTCTGTTCCAGGCTACCGAAAAGTAGATGCATCTTGTTCCCATACCAGCACAGTCGCTGGAATCCCTCTTTTTAAAGTGTTGATTTGATTCATTCATGTACCCCCGTCGCTAGAAGCCTGCCAGAAGCCGCTCCTTGTCCATGCCCTTTTGCACTGACGATCACTCCCCGCCCTCGTCAGCGCCTGGGATGTTACAGACCAAGTATTTTTTTTCCTGGAGCTTGGAACCCTTCAGGTTGCTCCATATAAATTTCCTCTTCAAGGTCGCCGTGAAGGAATGTCGTCTTCACATCTATCTGTTCCACTTCGAGGTCCATTTATGCCACCATGGCTAACACGGTTCAGACTGAAGTCATTTTCACAACAGGAGAGAAAATCTCCTCAAAATCAACTCCTTTCTTTTGATTGCAGCCTTTCACCACAATTCTGGCCTTGTATCTCGACTTCTGATTGTTTTCCTCATGCTTAATTTTGTAAACGCACCTGTTCTTCAGAGCTCGTCTTCCTTGAGGTAGCTCGGTCAACTCACAAGTCTGATTTTCATCCAAGGACTTCATCTTATCCTGCATTGCCTTCTCACATTCAATCTTGTTTGAGCTCGTCATGGCTTCATTATAACTTTGTGGTTCACCATCTTTATCAACGAAAATGTATTCGTCAGGTGGGTACCTTATAGAAAGTTGTCTTAGTCTTGTAGATTGTCTGGGTTCAATTTCAATTTGATGATCCGGCTCAACATGCTCAACTCAGATCTCGGTATCTCGGGCCTCTTCATCTCTGTCCTCAGGGTGAGCTGCTTCAGTTTGTCTTTCTTGGTCATTTTCAACATTTTCATCATTTGTTTATCCCCGTTTCAGCTCGAATAGGAGGGGCGAGTTCCTCACGCCAGACAACAGCTCGGACTTTGGGCTTCAAGATGTCTTCAATAGCCTCATTCTCATGGAAGATCACATCTCAGCTTCTCACTATCTTCTTATTGATTGGATCCTAAAGTCGAAAATCAAATTCACATCTCAACGAACCGAGGTAAATTCATTCTTTAGTCTATGCATCGAGCTTCGCCTTATCGTCCTTAGGGATATGCACAAAAGCTCGATATCCAAATACTTTCAAATGATCATAGGCCGCTTTGCAACTTGTCTAGACTTCATATGCAATTTCTCCTTCTAGTGGCCGTGAAGGTGAGAGATTGATTAAGTCAACACTAGTTCGGACTACTTCACCCCATAATGATTTCGGCAACCCGACATGAGATAACATACTTCGGACCCTTTCTTCGATAGTCTTGTTCATCCTTTCAGCAACTCTATTCAGCTGTGGAGTCTTGGGGAAGAGTCTACTCAAGTCGGATCTCGGCCTCTTTACAATATGCATCAAAAGGGTTGCAATACTCACCACTATTGTCAGATCGAACCATTTTAAGTTTTTTTTCCAGTTCTTCTTTCAACCATTGTATAGAATTCTTTGAAGGCTTAGAGTACCTGGTCTTTAGATTTCAACATATAAACCCACACTTTGCGGGAGTGGTCATAATTAAAAGACAAAATATTGAGCTCTTCCAAGGGATCTCTCTGACATGGAGCAGACATCAATATGGACGAGATCAGGGACATACTTGCGTTGTCTGGATTGATTTGGTCTCACAAATGAAACCCGATGTTGTTTCCAGCTAAGCAGTGCATACAAGTCTTAGCACTTGGCCTTTCAACCATTTCTTGTTCAGGATTTGGAGTCATTTCTCGCTCATGTGGCCGAGGCGCTTGTGCTATAACTCCATGCTAAGTCCATCTCGAACAAAATTTGCTTCTCCACTATTGATCTTTCCTTGTATCACGTACGAGGATCCTTTTTTCTTACCTCGGGCCGCGACCAAGTTTCCCTTGGCCAATTTTCATTTACATCCTCTGAAGTAATTCACTAACCTGACATCATCAAGCTTGCCTACTGAGATTAGGTTTAGTTATATGTCAGGAACATGCCTTACATCTTTCGGTACAAGTTGGCACTCGACATCTGTGGTCATGGTTACATCACCAACACCGATGATCTTACTCATCACTTGATTTCCCATCTTCACAACTCCAAAGTCACCACTTTTGTAAGAAGAGAAAAAATCTGTGTGGGTGACATGAAAGGAGGTACTAGAATCAATAATCAGGCGCGGCCATTATATGAAACATTCAAAAAATTATCTTCTCCGAGAAGAAATATCTCGCCATCAGCATTGGCAACCACTGCAATGGTGCTTTTGTCCTTTTTCTTCTTTGGAACAATTTAATCTGTCTTTATCGTACCGTTCTTCTAGTCCTTTTGCAGAGTCCTGCAGTCAGTCTTCTTTGGACCGAGCTTCCCTTAATAGAAGCATTGTAACTCGTATTTTGGCCTAGACCGGCCTATAGACTTATCACGTCCGTCACGACCCTGTCTTTTGCCATGACCCCGGGAGTCGGACTTTCCTCTATTCTCAACAACGTTTGCCTCGGAGGTATTGCTCACACCTCGTTCTCTTCTCCTGGCTTCTTCATTCATGAGGCTTTCAGACACTGCGTCCATAGTCAACTTTCCATCAGGAGCAGAGTTGCTCTACGTCACTACCAGAGTATCCCAACTTTTTAGCAGTGAACTCAACAGCAGTACAACCTACATCTCGTCATCGATCTTCATCTCGGCTTTTGAAAGGTGATTCACAATACCTTTGTAGGTGTTGAGGTGCTCAATCATACTCATGTCGTCCTTGGATCCGAGCTTCACAAGTTGACGAACCATATGTGCCTTGTTTTTGGGAGTCTCTTCTAAATCATGGACTCTAGCTTCCTCCACAACTCGTATGCATTAGTGAACTCAGACATGTGCTCAAAAAGGTTTGTGTCAATATACTTCATGATCATTGCCACAGTCTTTCAATTCAGGATTTCCCATTCCCTCACGTTCTTGCCTTTAGGCGTCTCCTCTTGGACAATGGGCTCATATAAGTCTTTGCAGTATAAATGGTCTTCCATCACAAGTCTCTAGTATGTGAAGTTGTCAGTATTTAGCTTGAACATATCTCCGTCATGGGCAATGCCACTAGTTTCCATCTCATCTCCTTTAGAACCTTTTAAACACGTGCTCTGATACCACTATTGGGAACTCAATTCCCTCAACTCTGTGCGAAAGCGTTTGCAAGTCGGAGCTAGGAGCTCGATAATCAAAGGAGGTCAGCCTTGCGCAACGGAAAAATAAAATTTTGCAAAGAAGAGAGATAGAGAATAACACAATCAAGTTATTTAACGTGGAAAAACCTTTTTCAATGTGAAGAAATAAAAGCTCACGAGACATCAGTCCAAAATCAAACTTCCACTATTAATAATGGGTTACAAATAATCAAATTTTACCAAAAAATGATAGTACACTCAAACTTCCCTAAAGAGACCTAATACTCAAGCTTCTCACTAGAGGTGCTAACAAATTTAAGCTCTAAGCTTTTCTTGAAGTCTCTACCCCTCGCTCTCACACACCACAAGCTTATATAGGGGAAGAGGTAAAATTCCACAAGCAATCATGGAACATGAGGAGACAAGGGGACAACCTTGAGCCACTCAAAGGTGTGCCCTTGAGCCGGAAGGAACAACTTCCAACAACTTCCTTTATAAGCTGGTTGTAGAAAAGTTGTGGCAGTCATTACTTTTATATACTGCGGCAGGCCATTCATCGAGATTTTATTAAGATATACGCAAATCAATGAAACTCTGCCTGAAAATATATCACTTTCAAGAAGAAAATAGTGCTGGTATGCATGCAAGAAACTAACTTCACAATACTAAGTAACATTTATAAGCCATCCATCCTGTGGACAAATTTTCAGTACCTAGTAAAAAAGATGGCTACATAAATAGATTTAAGTTCCCAAGTTTTGATTGGTTTAATTTGATTTCTCATGAACACAAAACCAACCACCACACTTCCGGCTCTTTAGATACAGCTAGGCACAATTGATAGAAGATACAATAAATGTCAACCCTCCAAATTGTAGTCTCCAGCTTGCTGGTATAAATTGTAACTCCCAGGTACTTCCATTTTTCCAGCTAGATAGTCACTTCCTGCAAAAATGAATTTGGGCTGTTATTTAAGTCTTGATGGTCAATTTACTATAACAGATAGAGGCTTATTCTATGAAGATATAATCCCTTCCCGACTCCCCCAAATTAGTGATCCAAGGTTATTTTCACAATATCAAAGGACCCAAATAACATCAAAATCAAGGATTTCCTATTTTCATTTGACAATAACACGTCGAGATACCTGCACACTTATTGGTAGAACTAGCTTAAGAATTTGCCAAATAATCTCAACTGGAACTATTTAAAGACCCGTTAATTAGAATCTGTAGTCTCGTAAAATTCAAACACAATAACAATCTGTTTAACTATGTACAGTACATATACCAAATGAGCTCACAAAAAAAGATTGCTAATGAAGAGACAAGTGAAGCAAGAGAGCACAAGTTGGTACATACTTGTGTTTGATAGCACCTCATCGAAAACAGGCACTGGACTCAAATCTCTTGAGGATCTTAGACTGCCATCTGACGAGAACATGGAATATGGTTTGTTAGAATCTGGATTCAAGTACTGCAAGTCAGAGCAAACTTCAGGGTTCTGAAAGCACAACTTTTCAGCCCCAGTAGTTACATTATGTTGGGACTGATATTCCTCTGGTATTGTCTTCTTATCCTTAGAATCAACCTCATTCTCTACTTCTGATTCAGTGTTACCAGGTGTCACATTTTGCAGTTTTCTTTTTGATCGAGCACGCCTATTCTGGAACCAATTATAGACATTTGTTTCAGAAATGTGGCCATGCTGACTCAGTTCAGCAGTTATCTCCTTGATTTTTTCCTTGTTTGGTGTTCCATTCCCTTGATCAAACATACGCTCAAGAATCTGAAGCTGCACTGGTGTAGGAGTCCACCTTTGTCTGGATGTTATTTTGCCAGTAGATGTCATCAATGGGTCACAGTATATGTTTCCCAGCCTAACCCCTGATGAAGAAAACATCAATATTCTCTTTAGATAATGCTGGATCTTAGTAAACAAATGTTAATTTTTCCATGCCAATTGCCAAGTAAAGGAAACCAATATCTCCCATTTTTTATACGAGGGAATTGTAAGGTTCTATAATCTGTACAATCTCAATACATTTATTCAGGGAGGTTCAGAAATGTTTGTTTATTCAATCAAGGAATATTTCCCCACGATAAATATGGCATACAAAAAAAAAACAATTTAGTTGAAAATTTACTGGACATGGACCACCTTGGCATGGCATTTGGTATTTACACAAAGGTCCAAAATTGAAACTTGAAATCCCATGTGCCTTATATGTCGGGGAAACAAAGTATAGTTGATATTTTGCACTGTCATTTACTGATTTCTAGATTCAGGTTGGCTTAACTAATTGAAGATAAAAAAAAGGAAATTAATAGGCTGGTACTTTGAGTGCGTTTAAACATGATGTAGTGTTGTAGACAAATCTAACTAACTAAATGATAAAGACAAACTCAATTGTAGTCCACAAATAGCATCAGTGAAGGCCCAGGTTTAACAACCAACACAAGGTAGGTAACAGGATATCAAAGGAAATTTAAATGGTAATGAGAACAAAACTTATTATCTACCATTAGGGATCTGCTTCGAAACTGAAAATATAGAGAAATGCACAGAATCTAAAACTGAAACGTTTTTTTTCAAACTTACACGTTGATTGCTAAAATTGAAAATTGAAGGGCCCGCCTACCCGTAAAGGCCCAAAGTTGAAGGAGGATTTGTAATTTTTTCTGACAATATACATAGAAATTCTCAAAAAGAAATGATTTTGGAGATAAAAATAAGACCGCCCTAAAGTAATAAATATGGGGCATTTATGATAAGCTCACAATTTAACATTTTTACCAAAAAAAAAAAGAAAAAAAAAAGAAAATGAAGAAGGAGAGGGGGAAAATACAAAAAGACCTGCAAGATCCTGATGAGCTGAGAGTGTTCTGTGCATCTCAATGAGTTGCTCACAAATGGTGGCATAAACAGCAATTTGTTTTCTGAGAGTTTCCAATTGCTCATCAGTCATCACCTTCACATACATCATATCTCCGTTGGCATCAACATTCCTATTATGCTGCCACCTCTGCATCTGTTTCTGCCATTCCATTACATTCACCATCTGTTCTCTGCTGTCTGTTTGTCTCTCAGATGAGAGAAAGAGAGAGAGAGAAAAGTCAGCAAAGGTTTGTCAGAAAAGTAGAAAATTGGGAAAGCAGAAAGTACGAGAAACAGACAAAAGACACAAGAAACATTATAACCAAGAAACTTGATTCTCTCTTATCCCCCGTTATATTACATGTGACTTCATCATTATTAAATAATATTATTATTTTTTTTAAAGAAAAAGACTAGACAACCAAAATTAGCCATATTTAATTGTTTTGCAAGAGCGAGAGGAGGGTACATTTGTTTAGTTTATTTTTAAATTGATTTTGAATGATTTGATATTACATAAAGTTCATTTAAACAGATTGACGAAGAAAAAATTATTTTTATTTAATAAATTGAAAGAATTAATTTTATTTGAATAATAAAATACAATTCTTTTTAAAATATGAATATAAGTATATCGTTAAAAATTTATAAATTTTATATTTATAATTAATGAATTTGGTGTTTGTCATTTTAAATGACATAATGTTATGGACCAGGGAAAGACCCACGACAGCAAGAAGCCCAACCTACACAAGCCCAAAGGTAAGGCTGATCTCTCTAACCCTATTTCTTTCAAACACGACAGCGCACACACACACACCCCTTCAGGCTAAGGCCATCGTACTGTGTGTAGTGATTTGTTGTCCCCAAGATACCTAATCCATAGGTATCTAGAGAGAAAGCTATAGATCCAACATCAAACAACCAACTTACGATCGGACACCTCTGCCCACGGCAGAACATTGGCGCCGTCTGTGGGGAATACTTTTCCACTACTACGTGATCGAAAGCCACGATGGTGAGAACGACAAGAAGTGGATTTCGACAACCATCAAGATCGAATTCCAGGATCCAGCCTATTTCTCCAATCAGGGAGAATCCATCGGATCATCGGCAAATAGATACCAATGCAGTGCACATGAGTGATGTGCACTCCGATTCGGCATCAACTCCAGTCGTCAATCCTGTAACATCCTGAGCGCTGACGAGGGCGGGGAGTGATCGCCGGTGTGAAAGAGCATGGTGCGAAAGGGCACAAACAAGGAGCGGCTCATGGCAGGCTTCTAGGGACGGGGGTACATGAATGAATCGAATCAACACCCGAAAGAGAGGGATTCCAGAGACTGTGCTGGTATGGGACGGTACAGTTGGGAATGGCTTATAAGAATTAATTGGTACTACCTATACTAATAAGATGCATCTACTTTTCGGTAGCCCGGAACGGAAGAACTCCATAGTTAAGCGTGCTTGACTTGGAGCAATTCTGGGATGGGTGACCTCCTGGGAAGTTTTCCCGGGAAGTGTGCGAGTGAGGACAAAGCACGCTGAAAAGTCTCGTGTTAGTGTGTGGGGACAGTCGTTGATCCTTGCAAGTTGCCAGGCGTTACAAATCCAGACGCCCCATACGTGCAAGGGTTACAACCGATGGAGGAACAAATGGCAGATGCTGTGCAGGCACCAAACGGTGCAGTTGGTGATTCTCGGGTAACAGATCTGGTTGTTGCCGCAGTACTTCGGAGAATGGAAGAGATGGAGAAAAGACACGGGCTTGAAAGGGAGGCAGATGCCAGACAGATGCGAGAGCTGGAGGCTCGAGTAGGTCGAGCCGCCAATCCGAACCCGGAACGAGTCATAACACAGGTCATGAATGATATGCGGATCACTAGCACCCAGGCGAACCCTGATGGGACCCGGGCTCAGGGGAGAGGAATTGGAAATATCGAAAGCCGGCCTTAGAGAAGCACACCCAATGTGGTTCATAATCAAGGACCCGAAGTTCGCAACGGCGACATAGGACAACCGGGAAGGCTGGAAGAGAACCCCCAGTCTTCAGATTGGAGACGCCCATCCCGGAACCCAAACCCGAACGACGTATCCGGGGTCTACAGGAGGAAGTATCACAGGGGGCAATACAATGACAGCCCCTTCGTTGACGAGATCGTGGATGCACCATTTCCAGAGAACCTCAACCTGTCTGAAATTCCAAAATACGATGGAGCGTAAGACCCCCAAGTGCATTTGGATGCCTTTGATACGGCGATGTACATTAAGGGAATTAAAGAGCCGTTGATAACCCGGTTATTTGCGACCACACTGACGGGAGCGGCTCAATCATGGTTCTCATCTCTACCAGCGGGATCCATCAGATCGTTTGAAGAGTTCAGAGGTAGATTCTTGCTGAATTTTGCTACGAGTAAAAAACAGCCCAAGTCCGAATTCGCGCTGGGAAAAATAAAACAACAACCTGGTGAAACACTGCAGAAGTATTAGGACCGCTTCAAAATGGCCGCCTTACAAGTTCCCGGGTTGTCTGAGAATGTTCATTTACATTTGGTGATTGCCGGCCTCCACGGATCCTCCAGGTTAGCTAGATCCGTATACAAAAACCCAGTCCGAACTCTAGTTGAGTTCACTGCACGGTCCAAAAAATATTTGGAGCTCGAACAGATGGAGATTGAAAATGCAGACCCAAGGCAACACCATGGTCAGGTGGAGAAACTTGGAAATCGAAGGCAAAGTGATTTCTGGGGTTAAAAGCCAGAAGAGAAAGTTTCAACTAAAGTAAAATTTGATAGATATGCACCTCTGAATTCGTCCAGATCCCAAATCTGGAGAGAGGTAACATCCACCCAAATGAAGAGGGTGGATAGGCCACGGCCATTACTGAATCCGGCCAGCCTGGACCAATCTCGATATTGCGCGTTCCATGATGTTCCTGGCCACACAACCGATGAATGCTGGGATCTCAGAGACGCAATTGAAAGATATATCAGAGAAGGAAAGTTGCGTCAGTATTTGATAAGAACTCAAGGATGGAAGAATAATAAGAAGAGGAGAGGAGGACGGCTTATGAGCCCGCCCCGAGAAAAGAAGTTCAGGGATGAGGGCCGAGGTAAGAAACCGGCCAAAGAAGAGGATGATGAATTCATAGAACCTGAGTTTGAATGCAATGTTATTAGCGGGGTTTTGGTGGAGAAGGTGATACAATGAATGCCAGGAGAAAATAGTTAAGAGAGGTGCTTTCGATACGAGAGCGACCCAAGTTTAAAGGAGCCAAACCAGAAGCACCACTGCTGTTTTTTACAAAGAAAGAATTGGAGGATGTCATGCCGGGACACGTTGAAGGGTTAGTTATCACCGGCACATTAGTCAACTGTAAAGTTAAGAAACTGTTCGTAGATAACGGCAGCTGTGCCGACATAATTCTGTGGCAGGCATTCCAGAAAATGAACCTGGATGTGGAAGATTTGAAACCCTGCAACACGGCTTTGATTGCGTTCAACGGCCGCGATACTATCCCTAAGGGATATATTGACCTGAGGCTTACCTTGGGAACAAAGGAGGCTTACAAGTCGGAAAGGATAAGATTCATAGTGGCTGACTTCCCGTCGGAGTATAACGTAATTCTGGGAAGGCCAACTATCCACAATTGGGATATGCTGGTCTCCAGCAAGCATCAGAAGCTCAAGATGATTGGTAAGCAGAACACGGTAATCACCATTCCTGGGGATCAAAAAGAATCTCGGGATTGCTATTTTAAGTCGGTCAGAGCAATAGGCAGTAACCTTAAGACACCAGTCGGGGTGAACCCCAGTAACAAGCAGGATAACTCCAAGAAGAAGGGAACAACATCGGTAAACATGGTGGAGTTGGACATGAGGGATGAAACTCAGATCCCAAGGTCGGAACCCGATGGAGAGCTGGAGGAAGTAGTCATTGGAGAAAAAACTCAAACAACCAAAATCAGAAAGGGGCTAGTAGAAGAGGACAAAGTTCGACTTACTGACTGCTTAAGGAGGAACACAGACGTCTTTGCTTGGAAATCCTCAGAGATCCTTGGCGTGGACCCTGACTTTTGTTGTCATAAGCTCGCGGTGTACCCAGCATCAGAATCGGTAGCTCAAAAGAAAAGGAAGCTCAGTGCAGAACATCGGCAGGTGTTAGAAGATCATGTAAAGGAGTTGCTGGAAGCAGGGTTTATCAGAGAAATACAATACACAACCTGGTTGTCCAACGTGGTGATGGTAAAAAAGCCAAATGGTAAATGGAGGGTGTGCACGGACTATACAGATCTGAACAAAGTATGTCCCAAGGATGCGTACCCCATGCCTAATATAGATCAGCTCGTTCACAACTCATCTGGGTTCCAGATGCTGTCCTCCATGGATGCGTATTCAGGATATAATCAAATCCCACTACACCCCGAAAACCAAGAAAAAATTGTTTTCATCGCAGAAAAGGCAAATTACTGTTATAATGTGATGCCTTTTGGACTGAAAAACTCAGGTGCCACCTACCAAAGAATGATGAATCAGGTATTCGCAGATCAGCTTGGTAAAAATGTGGAGGTATACATAGATGACATGATTGTTAAATCAATTAACTCAGCAGTTCATAATGAGGATCTAGAGCAAACCTTCCAAAAACTAAGGCAGCACAATATTCGTTTAAACCCGGCTAAATGTGCTTTTGGAGTACTGGCAGGAAAGTTTCTAGGATTTATGTTGACTCATAGGGGCATAGAAGCTAACCCGGACAAATGCAGAGCCGTACTGGAGATGAAGCCACCAGCGAGCAAAAAAGAGATCCAACAGTTGATAGGAAGACTAGCTTCGCTCACCAGATTTTTACCTCGGTCTGCGGAAACGACTTTACCCTTTTTCAAGCTTCTGCGAAAAGAGGTGCAATACGGGTGGACCTCGGAGTGTGAGGCCGCTTTCCAAGAAATTAAAAAACAGCTAGCATCACCGTCGGTCCTGTCTAGTCCAAGGAATGAGGAGCCGCTGATAATTTACCTTTCCGTAGAAGATGTTGCTGTCAGCTCGGTCCTAGTTTAAGAAAGTGAGGAGGGGCAACAACCAATTTACTTTGTGAGTCGGCTCCTCCAGGGAGCAGAGCTCCGTTATCAGAAGCTAGAAAAGGTGGCTTTCGCCTTGATGATCTCGGCTAGAAGGCTCAGAGCATATTTTCAAGGGCACCAGATTGTGGTCAGATCAGACTTACCAATCTGGAAAATCCTAAACAAGCCCGACTTAGCACGAAGGATGATGGCCTGGGCTGTGGAATTGTCTG